CGGACGCTTAACCGACTGCGCCACCCAGGCGCCCCCAAGTTCTTTTTTTTTTTAATCAGGCGTATTCCATTTCTTTTTTATTGACTGCATAATATTTCATCATATATATTTTTTCACTTTTTAAATTTTTTCTCAAATTTTTTATTTTTTATAATATAAATATTTAATATGTAAATATTAAATACCACACTACTGCACAAGCAATGGGCCAAATGATAAATCAAATGGCAAATCAAAATATGTCTCAAAAGAAAAAGAAAATCCAATATTCCAAAACTATGGGATGCAGCAAAAGCAGATGTTAGAGCGAAATTTATGCTACAAATGTTTGTGTTAAGAGAAAAGGTTGAAATAAGCAATATTACACCACAAGGAACTAGAAAAAGAAGAAACTTAGTCAAAATTTACTAGAGGAAGGAAATAACAAAAATCAGAAATAAATAAAACAGAGATCAGAATAATATTAAGTATATATTTAAAGTTTAAAAAATTTTAACTTTTATATTTGATTTAATAATGCAGAATTTTCTCCATAGGGGTTCACCTGGCACAGTAGCTGCTCCCCGTCTGGCTCCCACAGGTGTCAGTTGGGCTGACAAGGTAAAGGCTCATCACACAGGCTCCCCTGCTTCTTCAGATGTATCACCTGCCCAGTCTTGTCCACCAATAACAGTGCAGAAGACTTCCCGCAAAAATGGCAAGTGACATTGAATCAACCTTTTTATGTGGTAGACAGGTGGAAGGCTATGGAATTTTACTTATTTTATTTAAAACTGGTGCTAATAGTATTGCATATTTACCTTTTGTATCATTTATGTGATATTAATTTGCCTTGAAATCTTAAAATAATAAAATAATCTTTTGCAGATCATTCTAATCTCAGGTTTGCTCTGTGTAAACTTGAAGGAGAGTGATTCTTTAAAAAAAAATTTTTTTTAATGTTTATTTTTGAGGGAAAGAGAGAGAGACTGAGTGCCAGTGGGGCAAGGGCAGTGAGAGAGGGAGACACAGAATCCGAAGCACGCTCCAGGCTCTGAGCTGTCAGCACAGAGCTTGATGTGGAGCTCCCACTTACGAGCCATGAGATCATGACCTGAGCTGAAGTTGGACACTTAACTGACTGAGCCACTCAGGCACCCCAAAAGAGAGTGATTCTTTTGTTAATTCATTTGTAAGATCCTTTATAACTCTTCTGACTTAAATAGAAAAAAAAAATGACTACTAGTTCATTCCCTAGGCAGTATACTCTTTTTGTGTCACTACTTCATTTCATTAATATTTGAATACTGTTTTGGTACTAAAAATGATATTCTTATCTTTGCTTACACATTTGTTTTCTATGCCATCAGAATAATTAAGGGGCACAAGTAAATGTAAGGACTGTTATTCCAAGGACCTGTTTATCCCATAAGAATTTCCTTCATGGACTTTGACAAAAGTGGTATTTGTACTTTATCATACAAAACCTAGAGTATACAATGCAGAAGCAGAGGTCATGGGAAGGTATTTTAAGAAGAAACTAGAGTCAAGCTTGATTTGGGAAGATCAATGTTGATAAAATGGGGAGGATAGGCACCATGAGGGATGACTGGGGACTAGGGAGTAAGATGTCTGTTTACTTTTAAAGTTTTTATTTATTTATTTTGAGAGAGAGAGAGTGAGAATACATGTACGCTCACATGGGGAAGGAGTAGAGAGAGAGGGAGAAAGAGAATCCCAAGCAGGCTTCGTGCCATCAGTGAGAACCCGATTCAGGGCTTGATTTCACTAACCGGGAGATCGTGACCTGAGCCGTGATCAAAAGTCAGACACTTAACCAACTGAGCCACCCAGGGGCCCCTGGGATTGAGATTCTTATTAATCAGAAAGAGAAGTAATGAAAATGAGAAATAGATCTAACTGGAATCTCTTTTGGAACACAAACATTATCTTGTCTCTTTTAACTGAAAGTAGTCTGAACTTAGAACATAAAAAATAAAAACTGGTTGTTTAATGTAAAAAAAAAAGATCTTCCTTCATAAAGCCTCTTTATTTAGACATCAAGAATGAATTTTTTTTAATTTTAAACATTTACTAAGTTGTGCTAAACTTCTGATCTATAGAAATGTATATCCACATAACTATATATATACACTCATATAAATTATATCAATAGTAATATTTTGAGCTTTACCTATGAAATTAATTTTATTTTTGGTCAAATATTTCATCTGTATAATAAACCTAATCTGTTCATCAGAACCTTAAATCCATCTGAGGTAAGGAATATAATCCTGGGTAGGACTTGGATATGGTAGTGGAATGGTCAGAACTGCCCCTAGCCCATACAGGATGCCTTGGTACAGTTTAGAAAAGGGAGTCTGAGTGGATACAGTCATACACCCATAAACTTGGCTTGGTGAGTAGAGCCTGGCAGGATTTCAGCTCTCACTGTCTCAGCCTGGTGCTCTTATGCAGGGCATAACCTGCATATAGGTGGCAGTCCTGGAAGGAGCTGCTCAATGGTAGAGTGAGCAGAAAGTGGTGATCAGGCCACCCTTGTACTGCTTTACTCCTGTCTGAAAAAGATTCAGTTTGGCTGAGTTTGGTCAGATAGGGGGTCCCTTCTGCTCCTTCAAGCCACTTCTGTTGATTTAGTTGAAGAGGGAGATCTCCTTGAAATGGAAGAAGATCATTTTCATGTTCAGGTGTGCACATGGCTATGCAGCATCCAAGTGGTTTTTCAGGGCCCAATCTTAAGAAATAACCCATGGTTCATTTGTGATTTCTAAAAATTATGCTGTCAAGCTGACAGTAGGTGAGCTATAATTTCTCTCTTTAACTGTTCTTAACCTTTAAGTACAAACCATAAGGAAGGCCTGTTCTAAAACTACTGAGATGAATTCATCACTAGGAGTGGGAGATCAAACCATTGCTCTTGGAGCCTTGTCTTGACTGCCTTTAACCCCGGGTGTGTGGAGAGGCTGAGGGGAGAAGAGAGGAGCCAGTGGGCAATCTCTAGGCCATGCTCTCAACCTTAGGCACGCGGGCCAGAGGCTCAGGGTGGTGGACTTCTCCAGCCAACCCCTTGGCAAGGCAGGTGCCCTAGGTCTATGTCTACCAGGCTGTTGCCGAGGGCTCCATCGGGTCCTCCCACTCTATCTGCTACTTCAGGGCAGCCATGAGGCCATTGGGCCCAGGGACATACTTGTGCCTGGGCTGCCCCTCCCCTGACCTCGAGTGAAGTTTTTGTATATCTATAGAGGCTTGGATTTTAGAATAATACTAAGTAATCGTGAATTTGTGTTATAAGTTAAGGAGTAACTTCAGAATACTGCTTTCTCCTTTCTTTAGTGAAAGATCCCTTTGGAGCTTCTTGGTTCAGAAAGAAATGTTTTATTGGACATAGCAAAGGCATTGCCACCTTTGCATTATGGATATTCTTTTTTCCATTTTTGTCTCAGTAAGGTGTATTGACCTATTTCAAATAATACTTCTTACTCTTACCCATTATGTTGCCTTTGGTTTCTCTATACAGACTGAGTAGTAGTAATGGTAGTAGTAGTAGTAGAAAATTGAGAGTAGTCATGAGTTCTTTCTTCTAGGAGAAAGTAGGAAAATGTGGGATCATCAAGTTTAGTTTTTGTATTGTGAAAGAGTCTGAGAAAAATGTGTTGCATCATAATTGGAAAAATATCTTAAAAGAATCATGGTATTGGCATATATGATGGTTTTGTTTAAAGCATTACTCTCAGATTACTCTCATAAATATAAGTGTGACTCATTTGGTTGGGATGAAATGAAAGATCTTGATTATAACTAGGCTTAAAGTATCCATGTTCATATATAAGCAAATTTTGTTTTTGACTACATTGGTCTCGGGGTTTGGGGTTTTGATGCACTTTTATGAAAGTGAATTATGGTGCATATAATTTTTTTTCTTTTCATGTGTTTACCATTTTAAATGTCTTATTTGATGAAACATCTGTGCAAGTCACTTTTTTTTTTATTTATATATGAAATTTATTGTCAAATTGGTTTCCATACAACACCCAGTGCTCATCCCAAAAGGTGCCC